TAAAAGAAACGAGTGGGCTTCCCCCCCTCCCCCCCGCATTGCCCCCCAGTTTTCAAATGGTGACTCGCAAGGACAAAGCTGTCCCGAGCGGGTACCAGGCCGGCCGTGCCCGGTGGGCTCTGCGCTCCCGAATTAGAAAAGCAATTAGGAGCTCGCGCCGCGCCGGGTCCACGCTCACGCTCAAGCGCGGCCCACACCCCGCCAACAGCCCATCCCACTGGGAAGCCTGGACGCCGGCGAGACCAGCCGCGGTCCGACCTCCGACCTGGGGGGCTTAACCGCTTCGATCCCGCCACTTGCGAGGTGCAGCCCCGGGGCGGAGAAGGAGCGGGATTTCTTTCCCCTTTCGGGGTTCGGGGGAGTTTCCGACCGCGAGTTGGCGAGGTTACCTCGAATTCTCTTCACGAAACCACTTCCCCACCCCCCCCAAGGAGCTCCCTGGCTCTAGCGGGTTCTTAGAGACCAGCTCCTTGGCAACGGTTGCTAGCTCGTGGCTCTGCGTCACTTCCGGAGGGGCGGGCACGTTTCCGTCCCGGGGCACGCGCGATAGGGGCGTGGCCAGGGGCGAGGAAGGGCAGGCGAGTGCCAGGGCCACGTGCGCAGATCGGTCCCTGGTTCCGAGCCACTGCGGAGGGCCGAGGCTGTCACCATACCTGGGTGGGCGGCAGTTACCTTCCCGAATGTTCTGCGTTTCGCCGTTTCCGGCGTGTCCCCGCCTGATTACCTTTGCGAAGCGCGTGTGCCCTTCCGACATCCCCCATTCACCGCTTGTCGGCCGTGGCTGGCCGTGCCTTCGCTGACGCAGGGCTCTTGAGGAAGCATTTGACTCGAGCTTCAAGTTTAGGTGGAAGTATGAAGTATCTCTAAATTAGGTTATACGTGGGAACGATTTTAGGGCGTCTCTAGCAGGATTCAGACACATTCATCAGAGATTTCAGACTTTGCGCCACATTATTGGATCATATTGCCTGTACTGGAAAGTGACTTTGAAGAAAAAAAAAAATCCAGTGACTTTTTTGTCTCTTGTTTATAAACTAAAGGACATGTACACCCTCCAGTCAGAGGGAGAAAGATAAAGACAGGGAGAGGAGGAAACAACTCCCAGTGGGGTGTGCTCACTCTGCAATCTCTTGTTTCTCCATCCTATCAAGATTTGGGGCACACACACCCAGTGTGTGTTCAAGCTCTTGGGGCCGGGATTCAAACCATGTGGTTGGCTATTTGGGACCCAGCTCCCTTAACCAGTAGGCTGCTAGTGTGGTGAATTTTTACCATGCCAGGAGCCTGAAAAGGACAAAAAAAATGTAAAGGCCATTTGGCTTGTGGCTTCTGTGAGGTTTTCTCTATCGGGGCAGTGATAAATGAAGTACTCCTGCGGTCACAGAGTTGCATGCAGTGCCATAGCCGACATCTTTGTGCCTTGGTCACAGATGAGGTTTAGGAGTAGACTGGAACAGAAACTGCAGTATCGCACCAGCCAGGCTGGGGGAGACTTGAGTTAGTGAATGGCATTTTGAATGTGTCCTTAGTAAACTGGAGACCACTTTACTTTGTAATATCAATGGACGATGAAAAAGAATGAAAAAAAAATCAAATTCTTCATACCCTGAAAACTTAGCTGCCTGCTCAAACACCTTAGAAGAAACCAACTACAGATTTAACATTAGACTTATAACAAAAAATATCCAATTCCAGAGTCAACAGGTATATATAGTGGTTAAGGCACTGGACTCCCACATGACTGACCATGGCTCAAGTCCCAGACCTGACAGTTTGAAACATGCCAGGTGTGTGTGCATACATGCCCCAAATCACAGGAGAATGGAGAAGAGATTGTAGTGTGGCCATCCCCCCAGGGGGATGATTTCTCACTTTCTTCTCTCTCTGGCAAGTACACATACCCTACAGCAAAAATCTCTCTCTCTCTCAAAAAAAAAAGTTCTTAAATATATGTTTATATATAATATACATATCATATATAATGTACATACATATTTATACTTACATTTGTTTATACCAGGTCCAGGACTGAAACAATATTATATATACATTTGTATGTATTATATATGTTTTATATATTATATAGGTTTCTATATGTATTGTATGTTTATATTATATATACATATATATACACACGTGCACACACACACACACATACACATATATATTAGAGAGAGAGAGACAGAGGCAGAGCGAAAGCATGAAATCACCCCCCCCCAGAGGGGATGGCTGCACCGCAATCTCTTCTCCACTATTCTCCTCTCAGGATCTTGGGCACACATGCACACGTGCTCAGCATGAGTTTTAAGCCATGAGGTCTGGGACTTGGTTGATTACCTGGGAGTCTAGTGATGTAACCATTATGCCATCCGCTGGTCCCTAGCAAAAATATTTCTAATAAAAATTTAAAATTCTTGGGACCAGCAGTTGGCATAATGGCTATGCCATTGGACTCCCATGTAGCCAACAAGTTTGAGTCCTGGACCCAGTGGCTTAAATTCATGCCAGGCGTATGTGCATGTGTACCCAAGATCCTGAGAAGAGAATGGAGGAGGAGATTGCGGTGTGGCCATACCCCCTGGGGGGGTGATTTCTCGCTTTCTGTCTGTCTGTTTTTGTTTTTCTGGCGAGCACACGTACCGTATGGCAAAAACCTCTCAAAGAAAAATTTAAAATTCTTTTAAAAAATAGTGGATTCATGGGAACCAGCAGTTAGTTTAATGGCTATGTCACTGGACTCCCACATAGTTGACTGCGGTTCACGTTCCGGACCCGGTGACTTAATACTCACGCCGAGTGCGTGTGCGTGCGTGCCCAAGATCCCCGGGAGGAGAATGGAGGAGAGGGGATTGCAGCGTGACCATCCCCCCTGGGGGGTGATTTCTCGCTTTCTGTCTCTATTTCTCTCTCTGCCTGTCTGGCAAGTGCACGCACCCTATAGCAAAAATCTCTCAAAAAAAAAAAAAAAAGTGGATTCCATTGCTTATTTGAATTTACACAAGATTGCATTCTCATAACTGCAAAATATCGTGTTTATATAACAGCAGCGACAGGCAGAGGAGGAACTAAAAATTACTAGATAACCCACTCTTATCTTTCTATAGCCTGTATCTTTAGGTCCTATAGAAGGAGCAAATCTAAGCAACTCATTTTTTAAAAAGGAAAGAAAAAAGTCAAAATGTCTTCAGCGCTTTTCAGTGGCAGGCTGTGTTCTAATTGTTTTATCTGTATCAACTCAATCTTCACACCAACCCTATTAAGGAAGGATTATCTTTTTTTCTTTAAGTGTTTTTTTTTTTTTTTTTTTTTTTTTTGCCACAGGGCATGTGTACTCACCAGAAAAGAGAGAGATGATGAAAAAGTGAGAAATCACCCTTGAGGGGATGGTCACAATTCCTTCTCCTCCATTCTCCTGGAATTTGGGACACATATGCATACCTTCCTCCAGCATGAGTTTTAAGCCACCAGGTCTGGGACTCGAAATATGGTTGGCTATGTGGGAGCCCAACACCTTAACCACCATGTCACCTGCTGGCCTGAGGAAGGTATTGTAGCTGCATTTTATAGGGGAGGAGCACTCAGAGAAGTGAGGAAATTTCCCAGGGCCACATATAGCAGACTCAGAATTCAAACCAGGCAGCCAGCAGAGTCTCCCCATTCACCTGACAGGATCAATTAGTTATAAAAATGCCTTATACAAATCTTGTATTGTTTCTCCCAGCATTATTAAAGTTACTTAACTTCTTGAGGTAAGTTAAATACCTTCTCCAACTGGTTATTAGCATCTGTAGGCTCAGACCTGTTTTAGTTTCTCCCCAAGAGCCCTGCAGGATGTCTTGTCTCTTTTGCTGTTGTTGAGATTTTTAATAGAGGGCGCATGCACTCACGGGAGAGACAGAGAGACAGAAAGTTAGAAATCACTCCCCAGAGGGGTGGCCACGCCACAATCCCGTCTCCATTCTCCTCCTAGGATCTTGGGCACGCATGTACATAAGCCTGGCGTGACTTTTCAAATGGCTAGGTCTAACTGGAACTGTGGTTGACTACGTAGGAGTCCAGCGATGTATCCATTACGCCATCCACTGGTCCCAGACTTACTTAATTAAAAAATTTTTTTTTGCTATAGGGCTCTTACCAGAGAGAGACAGAGAGAGAGAGAGAGAGAGAGAGAGAGAGAGAGAAAGTAGGAAAGCAAACTGCCCATTCCAGAACTCAAATTGGGGTTGGCCATGTGGGAGTCTAGTGCCTTAACCACCACACCACCTGCTGGTCCCAGAATCCACTCTTTATATTCAAACTTGAATGGATTTTATGCTTAATAAGCTTGCTCTGAAACACAGGGAGAAATTTACTTATTCCTGTATTTGTTCGTTAATTTGTTCATTTATTTACACCAAGATTTCATTGTATTCTCCTGCGTCAGCCTCCAGAGGACCTGGGATTATAGGTACCACGGCACCCAGCTTTTGGGGTGGGCAGGAAATACAACATGGGCCTCCCATGTGGCCTCAGCTTACCAACCAGTGTGCACTACTGCACTGGGTCAGCACAGGGAAGGATTTCAGGCCAGTTAGCGCTCCCTGGGATCCTATATTGAGCAGTTTATCTTCCAGTATGAAGCAAAAACAAGACCACTGAGAGGCTTGCACATGTTGGGTCTCTGCCTATCTACAGCACCCAGACACAGAAAGATTTGCTACCACTCCCTGATCCATTTAAGATTAAACTTTGGGTAGATTCATTAAGAGGTCTAAGAGGAAACTCCCAGCAACAATTTCACAATCATGGACGCATTGCTGATTACATCTGAAATCAAACCACCCAGACAAAGCCTGTTTTTCCTTAGATACCACGTTGGGTCTTAACTGTTGAATAAGGCCCCAACAGTGCCTTTCAGCTGAACTATATTTGACATTTTCAATGGAGGGAAGTCCTAACCATATGCAGGAACCTTTCTGAAAACTCCTTATGCCTATCCCACTCCCTTTCTTTTTAACAGCTTATTGATATATAATTCACATACGTGGGGTCTTCAAAAAGTTCATGGGAAAATATGTATTTTGAAACTTATGGGTAAATTTTTTGTAATTTTATTTTATTTTAAATTAACCAGAGAGGACAGAGAGAGAGAAAGTGAAAAAGCAAGCCACCAGGTCCGGGCCTTAAACTGCAGTTGGTCATATGTGAGTCCAGTGTCCTTAACCACCACGCCACCTGCCAGCCCCAAAACCTATGGGTGATTTTTTTTTTTTAATTTTGCACCAAAATTAACTCATACTTTAATGCTACTTTTTCATGAACTTTTGAATTTCTGTTGTACATACAATTCTCCCATTTAAAGAGTATAATTCTATGGCATTAGTTTTTGTTATGAGCATATGTGCTCACCAGAGAGAGAAAGGGAAAGTAAAAAAATCACTCACTAGGAGAGATGACCACACCACAATCTCTTCTCCTTCATTCTCTTCTTGGAATCTTGGGCACACATACAAACGTGCCTGGCATGTTTTCCAAGCCACTGGATCCAGGACTTGAACTGCATAGTCAGCCATGTGGGGTTCAGCACTTTAACCACCACACCACATGCTGGCTCCTCAATTCAACGGTTTTAGGAAGACATGTTCACAAAGCTGTGCAATCATCATCACTGTCTAATCCTAGAACTTTTTTTTGCTAGAGGGTTCGTGCGCACCAGAGAGAGACGAAGAGAGGGAGAAACACCCCAACAGAAGATGGTCATGTTGCAATCCTTTCTCCTCCATCTTTCCCTCTTGGTGGGCTTTTGGACACTCATGCACATGTGCCCAATGTGTTTCTTAAGTCACCAGGTCCAGGACTTAAACCATGGGGTCAGCCATGTGGGAGGTGGCTGTCTTCACCACCAGGCCACAGAGTTTGTCCCCAAAACATTTTTATTACTCCCAAAAGAAACTGTGGGCCTGGGTGTGGTGGTGTGTGCTGCTTGATATGCTGCTCAGTAGGCT